CTGAAGTCGGACGCTTAACCCACTGAGCCACCCAGGCGCCCCATGAGGCCAGTCTCTCTGATGGCTATAACATTCTGATATTTCTCACTGGAAGAAGGGCAACCAGAACACGGCCCTCATTTTCCGTGATGGCGGCCTTTTTGACATTGGCGAGAATTTTTGCATACATTCCGTCTTCCACCTTTAAAAGTTGAAATATTTGAAGCAAAACTATCTTCATGCTCTTCTTGCCTTAGTTCATACTTTATCCCTAATAGTTGCTGATGTGATCACTCCTGAGGGCATATTTATTTCACAGGACGAGCTGAAATGTAAATGACCCAGGTAATCCAATAGGTCTCACAGCCTCTGAGAATGTCCGTGCCCTGATCAACACTTGAAGATCTTCTCAGCTCTCCCTTTAACCTTTTCTGTGATGTGGACAGAAATCTAAATCGGGTCAGCAGACTGCAGCCCAGACTACAGCCAAATTTGGCTGTCTGTTTTTATTTTTTTATTTATTATTATTTTTTTTTTTAATTTTTTTTTCCAACGTTTTTTTATTCATTTTGGGGACAGAGAGAGACAGAGCATGAACGGGGGAGGGGCAGAGAGAGAGGGAGACACCGAATCGGAAACAGGCTCCAGGCTCCGAGCCATCAGCCCAGAGCCCGACGCGGGGCTCGAACCCACGAACCGCGAGATCGTGACCTGAGCTGGAGTCAGACGCTTAACCGACTGCGCCACCCAGGCGCCCCAAGCTGTCTGTTTTTATAAATAAAGTTTTATTGGCACACGACCCACGCGTGTCCTTTTACCTCTTGTCTATGGCTGCTTTCGTGCCGCAATAGCATTGTTAAGCGGCCACAGAAGAGACCACATGGCCAGCCGAGCTAAAAATACCTATCCGGCCTCTTACCAGAAAGATGTGCTGGCCCTGATCTAAAAGGATTTTAGGGGTGTCGGCATCATGTTTGTGTCCGAGTGGCGACTGGAAATCCTCTGGCCTCCCGGCACGTGACATAACACGCCTTCCCCCAGGCTCTCGGTGTCAGTTTCTCAGCGGCATCATGTATTGCCACAGCCAACTTCCCAAACTTTTCCACTGGCTGTCTCCCAGCGGGCCTACCAACTGCACCAGTGGCTGTGGAGTTTGGGCATCATGGTATTTGCGTCCTCTCGTAACTCGTTTCCCACCTTTAGAAGCTTGTACCCTATGTAGTGTTGGATGGCAGGCGGTCCTCCAAAGCAGTGTTAAATCCCAAGGAGTAACAACGGCTATGACAAGATGTTCAGGTGGGACTGCCAAGATTTTCTAGTGGTTCAGTCTCCAAAACACAAATGTGAATAATGAAATAGAGAGGTAGGGAGGGCCTTATTTAATGTATATTTTTTATTTCATATTTATTTGATTATGTATACACACACACACACAACTCAGGAGTAGAAAACCCAGGTGTTATGATCACATTTTTTTCCCTGACCTTGTGGGCTGAAAAATACACATTTTTTTCTTGTTAAAGTTTATTTATTTACTTTTGAGAGAGAGAGAGAGCACAAGCAGGGGAGAAGACAGAGAAAGGGAGACAATCGGAGCCAGGCTCCAGGCTCCGAGCTGTCAACACAGAGCCCGACGCGGGGCTCGATCTCACAAACTGAGATCATGACCTGAGCCGAAGTCGGATGCTTAACCAACTGAGCCACCCAGGCGCCCCCGAAATACAGATCTCTATAGCCATTCTGAGCTCACGGGAACAATGGTTAATTTTCAACAATTTCAGAATAACGTAAAGCCTATGGAATATTCGATCTGCCAAAATCTGCAATCTTGATTTCTTTGGTTTCTTGTCTGAAGTCTGCTGAGCATGAGCCACATTTTAAGCTGGACTGAATATAGGAATGGTTGAAAATGAAGTCTTCATTTTCTCCTTCCTTTTGGGACACTGGCCAGTATGTACCTGTGCTGCTTGGGTCCATCTGGGACCCCTGAAGATAGCTGTGGTTGAGCCCTGCCCATGGTACTGTTGAGTCCTTAGGTGTAACAGCTCTGGATCCCTGTCTCGGAACTGACAGACAGGGAGTCCACGAAGGCAGGGACGTGTTCATCTCCACTATATTACTGTGCTTTTTAAATCTGATTCTGAAAGGGGTGCCTGGGTGGCTCAGTCGGTTGAGCGTCTGACTTCGGCTCAGGTCATAATCTCGCGGTCCGTGAGTTCGAGCCCCGCATCGGGCTCTGTGCTGATGGCTCAGAGCCTGGAGCCTGTTTCAGATTCTGTGTCTCCCTCTCTCTCTCTCTCTGACCCTCCCCCGTTCATGCTCTGTCTCTCTCGGTCTCAAAAATAAATAAACGTTTAAAAAAAAATAAATCTGATTCTGAAAAGACATTCTTGGTCGTGTCAAAATAAACAGTCCTTTTCTTCTTCCTCTTTGTGTTTCGCAAACTCGTTCCCAGGCCAACCATTTAAACTGGACCCCAAATCTGCACATCGGAAGCTGAAGGTGTCCCACGATAACTTGACAGTAGAACGTGATGAGTCATCATCCAAAAAGAGTCACACGCCTGAACGCTTCACCAGCCAAGGGAGCTATGGTGTCGCTGGAAACGTGTTCATTGATAGCGGTCGGCATTACTGGGAGGTGGTCATAAGTGGAAGCACATGGTAGGCAATTCTATCTATCGTCCTCCCGTTATACAAAAGGCACGTCTTAGGCTGTGCTGTGTCGGAGCATTCATCCATACCAGAGCCCATCTTGAAGAATAATAGGTAGAAAAGCCTTTTTAGTCCGTTGTTGTTATGGTAATGCTGCATAACCAGCGCCCCGAAACTCAGTGGCTTCAAAATGATCGTTTGTTATCTCTCACCAACCACCCACATCCATGGGTTAGCTGTCAAGACCAATCTCAGCCGGGCTTTGCTTTAAGCTGCAGGTTGGATCTAGGTCCATTCTTTGTGTCTATTCATCCTCTTTGGACTCGAGGGGCACCCGGGCCATGTCTTTCTCAAGGAGCCTCTGCTTACGTCACCGTCTGCTGACTTCTGATTGGCCAAAGCCAGTCACAGAGCCACACCCAAAGCCAGTGGTCTAGGGAAGTATATTCCTCCCATGGAGGTGAGAGGAGGGGGTGAGTATCCGCAAAGCAGTCATCTGATCTAACATTCAGCCAGGAAGAACATTTTTTTTTTTAATTTACTCCGAGAATTGCAGCTAAGGTGATCGAGTCCTGTCCCATGCGAGTCAGCCGACTAGAGCCCTGGGGCCCCGTGCCTGTTTTTGTAAATAAAGTCTAATGGGAACACATCCGTTCCCATTCTTTTCCACATTGTCTGTGGCTGCCTTTGAGCCACACAGCAGAGTCGAGCAGTTGAGATGGAACCCTGTGGTCCACAAAGCCGAAAATACGAACTCGGCGGCCCTTTTCCGGAAACGTTAGCTGATTCCTACTCTAAAACACTACTCTTTGACCTTTAAAGAAAACTAATTGCCGTTGCCCTGTATGTTTGGTGATTCTGGACTGGGCCGATTACTGTAAATAGCCAGGAGCCGAGAGGGTGAAGTAGCGATCATAGGCTGGAAATCCCTTCGAAAGGTCCGTTAGATCCAGTCAGGGTGCGGTGTCCACGCTGGAATTGGTTAACCTTGCCTAGTTCGTCTCACAAAGCTGACCTTGTCTATTCCACAGCCACAGACTGCCCCCCCCCCCTTACTCTGGCTGGCCGTCTCACAAACACCTGTTCGCTACTGCCCAAAAAGGCAGCTGTTTTATTTTTATTTGGCATATGTGCCAGGCGCTGGTCTAAGCATTCTACGGATGTTAACTCATCCGTTCATCCTAACAGCCCCACAAAGGCAGGTGCTGCTATTCCTACTTTACAGATGAGATGGCTGAGGCACGTGCCCATTGGCTCAAGGTCACAGAGCTCAGAGGTGGTAGGGTTAGGAAGTCTGCAGGGTACAAGCGCTTAGCCAAGGGTTCACAAGCTTTTCTGTAAAGGGCTAAAGAGCCAGTGTTGCTGGTTTGGCAGGCCAGATGATTTTTATCCCAACAACTCAACTCTCCTGTTGTAGCGGGAAAACAGCCACGGACCATATGTCCACGAATGGGTGTGGCAGGGCCCAAATAAAACTTCATTTCTAAAAACAAGCAGAGAGCCAGATTTGGCCCATGGGTTGTAGGTTGCTGATCTCTTTCTGCTCTTAACCGCCGTGCTTGTGTTTTTGAAACATTATAATTACGCTAGGGCTTACAATGGTATGCTTGACGAGTGAGAGCTTCAACCTTGCTTTAAAAAGACACACCTCAAATGGGCATAACCTGCAATGATGACTATTGTAACGGTGCTATTTTTGAGATAAGGATGCTAAGACACATTGTGTCCGAAGTCCCTTGCAGTGTTCGTACAAGTCGACAGAAATCTAAAAAGTGAAATCATAAGCTTGGGTGTCTCCTTTCTCCCCAAAATGGTACCTATATTGGCCAAGCAAATAGGTTTTCTTCCGTTGTGATCCCCACGATTCTCTTTGCCCAGAACATTTTCCTGTTCCAACATCCTGCCGGAGGATAGAGGACAAATCCTTCCCCCGCAACCTCCCTATTCGGCTCTGGGCCAGATTGGCATTTATAGCTGCAGTGGGGCAAGATAAAAGCCCAAAGGAAAATACAATGAATTTTTGCAGGTGCAAAGGAGCAAACATTTCTAGTTAATTAACGTGCTGTATTAACCTGGGACAGAATCCAGTGTCTAAATGATTACAACCCCATTAATAATTATTTATGATAAATGATACCCGATCATTATGATCTCATTCCCATTGACGAATGGTGCGGGAAATTCCACCAGACCTCTTCAGTTATATAAACACAGATCGGTATTACCTTGAAAACACCGTCCAGATGTCAAAACCAACTCATGAGGGGGGGAAAATTCTAAAATTAATTGCCGCACTTTGGATCATTACAAACTGGATTGTGTCAATTTCAGAAAAAATTCTCATGTAGAAAGTAGTTTAACATTTCCTGGGAGGTGTTAGAGAGGAAGGGGTGACCCGTATGATCAAACGCTTGTGACGCCTTGATTTGCACCAGCTAATAACACGTATATTTTCTCGTGAAATACAGTCCTGACTTTCAATTAACATGTATGTTATGATCCCTGCAATGAGGCATGTTAACATCGCTCTGAGAAACGTAATTTTTATACTTTCTGAATTCTCCAAGTCTCACTGCGTAACTTAATGGAACATTACCTTCTGCCTGCACCTTTCAAGCTCGATGGAAATACGTACATAGTTTTACAGATTAATGATCATATAATGATATTTTCCTTTGCTTAATGGACTATACACAGAGTTATTTTCTCACTCCCTAATGCTGTTAATGTGCACTTGGTGTTTTATGAAATGGTCTTAACTAAACATGGGTTCGTACATGGATTACTGGGCCAGAGGTCGAGGGGGAAGGGGCGAGATTCTGGATTCTGCTCCTAATTTTAACCTCCGTGTTTTCCCATTTGCTAAATGAAGTCCGTCATACCTGCCGCGGCTACTTCACGGCGGGTTCAGTTAAGGCTCAGCTGGGAAATAAACGGCAGAGTTCTTTAATAAAACATGAAGGTGGTGACCGGCGACAAGAAGGAAGCAATACAGACATGGCTATTTTGTGATGCAAACGCAGGTTCCGGGTTATCTGAAAAACGGAAACGGCGTCTGCTGGGGCATAGAGAAGGTCTCTGGGGAAAATACTCAAAAACAAAACAAAAACCTTTCCAGCGTGCCTCAGGTAGGTAGGGTTCAGCAGAAAAACAAAAGTCGGTCGAGGAGCCCCACGGAGGAGGGGAGCCAGCGGCTTACCAGAACCCCCCTGGTAAGTTCTGGAGTTTGCCGGAAGCCCCCGCAAACCTCACCTCTGCTGTCTGTTGTCTGGAAAAGGGCATTTCCCCACCTCTTAGAACTTCCAGATCTTCTGCAAAGCCATCACGGTGGCAGGACGCGACCCAGACTCCACTTGAAAAGGGATTCTGGGAGATACAGTCCCCGGATTCACCCTGAGATGCAGAACAGGACTGGCAAGAAGGAAGAGAGGAGGCCAAGGTGATGGCAGACAGGCTGCTACACTGGCCTTTACTGATTTTCAATTCCATCCTCTTTTTTAATTCAGTGATAGCATGTTACATTCATTGCTTTTTAACACACCACTCTTAAAGTGATTGTATTTGAAATCCAACATGTGATTTTTAAAAGAATGTCGTTTTATCAAAGACCAATGAAGTTTTTTTCTGTCTGCACTGGGTAAGGTATCATATGTCAATATCCACTTAGGCTGGCTTTTGCTACAACATATTAAAAGTCGGGCTCTGAATCATTTATTCTTTAAGAGTGATGAGTTTTGCTTATCTTAATGTCTGAAATATTGCAAATGTTAATGGAGGCATACCTCAGCAGGGTAAAAAGAGATTAGGGAGCTTAGAACATTGTAGAAAGAATTCTCAACTTCTTTTGAGCGGTTGAGAGTACATTTATTTATTTGTAAGCTTTATTTTGAGAGAGAGTGAGCACGCAAGAGGGGGAAGGGAGAGGGGAGAGAGAATCCCAAGCAGGTTCCACACTGTCAGCCAAGAGCCCGACTCGGGGCTCAAACTCACAAACCGTGAGATCATGACCCAAGCTGAAATCAAGAGTCGGATGCTTAGCCAACTGAGCCACCCAGGCGCCCCACGAGTATGTTTAGAATAACCAGGGTATCTGTCTCTCAAAGACATTCAGAATTGTTTTAAATGTAGTAGGAAATTAATTAGAAGGGCTCTTGGCAATGATGAATCACATAATTTCTGGTGAGGGAAGGTATGGGAGAGTGTTGTTTAAGTTTGGGGCCTTTTGAGTCATCTGAGGTTCAAGTACTGATTCTGATGCTTATTAGTAATGTGTTATTGGGCAAAAAGAATAAAACAGCAGTTACTGAAGATTCCTTGCCAGGCCTCGTGCCCAGGATTTTACATGCGTTCTTTCCTTTACTCCTCAAAATAACCATCCGAGATAGACGCTGTCATTGACCCTGTGTGAATAGATGAGGAAAATGGCTAGGAGAGGACGAGGAACTTTCCCTGCAAATGAAAATCACTCTCCACACTTGCCTTTTGCAAAGTGTGCTTGAAGTCATGGAAAATGACAGACACGGTGCCGGTTGAAAAATTCAAAGTAGGTCAAAAGGAGAAATCTAGGGTTGTGCCGTCCAGTATGGTAGCCCTGAGCCACATACAGTTATTTGCATAATTTAACTTCATTAAAACTAACTAAATTTAAAGTTTGGTTCCCCGGTCTCAGCAGCCACAGTTCAAGTGCCCAATAGCCACATGTGGCTCGTGGCTACCATATGGAACAGAGCAGAACCTTTCGCTCATTGCAGAAAGTTCTATTGGACAGCGCTGGTCTAGAGAATTCACTGTGTGGGTCTTGATGAGTGGAAAGAAAGAAGGAAAAAAAGGAAGGAAGGAAGGAAGGAAGGAAGGAAGGAAGGAAAGGGAAGGGAAGGGAAGGGAAGGAAGGAAAGAAAGATAGAAAGGCAGCAAAACACAAAGTTCAAATTCTCATGTAATGTCGGAACTAAAAACAGGAATATGAGTAAATATAGCAGCCCATTTCCACCCACTGTATGTGTGGGAGGGAAGGAGCTGAGGAACACCCGTGTCAGGGTCCTTGCCAAGCTTTCGCTGAAGAATGAATCCGGTTGTTGTGACCCCGGAAAACCGTAGAAGGGATCCAGCGCACCTGTGCCCCACGCCTCACCGTTCTCGCTGTCACCATTTTGTTTGTGCAGGTATGCCATCGGCCTTGCTTACAAATCGGCCCCAAAGCACGAGTGGATCGGCAAGAACTCTGCTTCCTGGGCGCTGTGTCGCTGTCACAATAACTGGGTGGTGAGACACAACAGCAAGGAAACCCCCATCGAGCCAGCCCCCCATCTCCGGCGCGTCGGCATCCTGCTGGACTATGATAATGGTTCCATCGCTTTCTACGATGCTTTGAACTCCATCCACCTCTACACCTTCGACATCACATTCTCGCAGCCTGTGTGCCCCACCTTCACGCTCTGGAACAAGTGTTTGACCATTATAACTGGCCTTCCGATCCCAGACCATCTGGACTGCACAGAGCAGCTGCCATGAGCACTGGGCCATGTGGAGCTGATTTCTGGGGGATTAAAAAGGGCCGTGGCCACCATTTCAGGGACCGAGAAAGCACAGGCTTCCAGAGTGTGATTAAATCTCGCCAAAAAGTGTCCAGAAATCGGCTAGGATAGGACTCAAAGTAGGCGATTCTCCCCCTTTGCTGTCTTTTGTATTAAGTACACGCTTTAATAATTTCTTCAATTTTTTTTTGTATCTACAGGAAAAATTATAGATTATTTATAAAAGAAACATAACCGGAATTCCAACTCTTAGAAAGTATTTGGTTTTGCACATTAAGAGGCCCAGAAGCGTACGGGCTCTTCACAACAGCCTTCGTCTCGTCACGCTCTGTGGGCTGGAGGAAAAACTCTTGTAGTTTTGTGTGCTTATCCACCTTCTCACATCCTCATATCTCATACCGATCCCCTTGTAGGTCCTGTCGCCCTGACAGTGCATAATAGAATATGCAAGTATCTTAAAAATAAAACATAGCTTTGAACCTAGTAGGGCAGTAAACGGGCTTTCTTACTGTGGTTTATTTCGAAGTGTTTTAACTGTGATGGCAAAAACTTACTGGCTCAACCGGAACGGAGAGCAAAAGAGAGAATTGAATGAATTGACTCTGGAGCTTGGACTCCACCATGGCCCAGTCTTTAATCACCCTCCAATGGCTGGTGGGGTAATGTTGGAAAGAAAGGTTGTGAAGCCTTTGGCCATGTGTGACCTTACCTTTCCCAGGATTCAGGATTCTGGGAGAACATTAAGAATTGAGATTGCAATTGAGAATAGTCTCTTTGAATCCTACTGATTTTTCAAAACGTCTGAGGCTGATTTGTCTTTGATCAGAAGTAGGGTTCGGTTTCATGACATAAGTCTATTTCGTTCTTCCTTTTAGTAGTGTCTTTAGGCCTGTGACATTGCTTTACTACATTTAATAGCTGTCCTATCTCCCTCTCCCCCGAATCATTTTTCTTCGCTTGCTGGGGCTGAGGGAATAAACATTTTCTGTTACAAATGGCAGCACCACTTTGGATTGGCTTTGCTCTCCAGGACATCAACACATGGCCCTGACTGTCTCTACCACGTCCAAATATAACTCACCCGAAAAACACTTAATATTTATGAGTTGGTAATGACAAGGGACGTTGCGTAAAGTACTATTTACTGGTACACGTGCCTCGAAAGTTATAAAAAGACTTTTATTAAACACATCTTGAAAGATGTAGAGGACCCTCTGTGTTCTAGTATAGTTTACGATAGAGTTGTGAAACAAAAAACAAAACAAAACAAAAAAAACAAAAAACGAAAAACACGCAAAAAAAATCAAACTATTGCCGCGCTGGAACCTGCTAATAGAACCAGCTAATAAGCTGTCAGGTGGGATTCTGGGCATGCTGATCCGGTAAGATGGAACGGTCCATGAAGTAAGGCTTTCTTAAGCAGTCCTTGGACCCGGACCAGGAATCTGGCATTGGTTCTATCTTGACGAAGGGCATGATACCTGTAAGTCATTTCATTTGCTAATGTATTGATCTGAACTACTGGGTTGGCCATTTTGACTGAACAGACTGATGAATTTAAGCATTGCTTCTTAGCAATTTCGTTGTTAACCAAATCAACCAATTGCCTCCCTGAAATCCGTCCACAGACCCACTGTTTTCAGCATCACGTCATGTGACTGCGAGCCCGGACCCCGTGGGCCACGTCATGGGTGTTTCTGTCCCCTTCACTGGCAGACACTCTCCTTTTTCGTAACAGATAGAGTTTATATATTTACTATATTATTTATACCCAGATGAATATTTTGATAGCTACTTAGGACAATTTCACATCTAACAGATGGACACCTCGATGGAAAAAAATTAATCATTCTCTGGAAACGATGTTTTTGGTTTTTTTTTTTTTACAACATAAAACAATGTGTATTTGCCTTCCTGGACAAACTGAAAGGGTTGTAATTTTTACATACTGTTTTGGTAGCTGGATAATGGATATTTTAATGCACTTTGTACACCAACAGGTTTTAAATAAAAGGGTCTAAAACTCAGCTTCTGAGTTTTTCAAATCATGGTCGCCAGGTGCCAATAGATGCTACGGTTTGCCTTATGATGTTGATGTAAAGCATTTACAAGGACGATATTTCCGTGAATATAATGTTTTTCAACATAAAGAAGTTACTACTCAAATTTTCACCGCAAGCCATTTAGTTTATGTTTTGGCTATTTTTATAAGGACGAGAGGGATTGTGTTATAATTTGGTTGTGGAAGTCTCACTCTTTGCTAACTTAAAAACCTTGTGGATAGTAGCAGTTACTATTTCCCTGTTGTCCTATTTACAGGAAAATATGTATATGGTGAAAGGCCACAGTGTTTCCTTTCGTTGCTGTAATGATGTAGAAAAGATTTCCATGTGGATTTTTTTTTTGAGAGTCTAAAAAAATATATGCTATAAACATTTGCTGCAGTACAATTCTTTAAGTGGACTGGGGTCACCGTATTTTGTTTTCGAGATCCATAAATTAATACAACCAAATTGATGCGGCGCTGACCAAGGCCGCCGGGTCTGACGTCGTGGGTGTGTGAACAGGTGCTGTCACCATCTTGAAATCCTTAGTAATTTGTGAATAAGGGGCCTGCATTTGCATTTTGCGCTGGGCCTCGAACGTTATGTAGCCGGTCCTCATAACGGAACTCAGGAACATGGTACCTCTCTTCCTGGTGGATACAAATGAAGAAACCTGCGTCCGGTGTCAAACGTGGCTGGCCGTGTCATTCAAGGAGGAATCTAGACGGATTAAGAGGAGAGCGGGCGTGGGTGGAGATTTTCTTTCCAGCTTGAAAAAAACAAAAAATGACTTCAAAAACTGACTGCAAATATTGACGATGATTTCAGCTGGAGAAGAGGGAACGGCCTGATGACGAACGGGCGGTTCATCACGGTACTGAGATGTTGACCCTGAACTTGCCAAGGAACTGAACCGGCACCGTCCAGCGAGCGTGGGATTCGGCTTCGGCTCCAGGCACGTATGCGGTGCCTGAAGAGACACACGCACGTACGCTCGCCTACGTGTGCTTTTGGTGTTGGGAAGTTGATGATCTGGTCGACCTGTGTGAAATGTTAAGCAGGAAGCGGGAGCGATTTGGCAATGTCTGGAGTCCGTTTTGGCTACCCCAGCTTGGGAGAGGGCGCTGCTGGCATCTGGAGGGTAGAGACCAGGGATGTCGCTCAGCTTCCCACAGTGCACAGCGCAGCCGCCCACAGCCAAGAACGATCCGGGCAAAACATTCAATGCCTGATCTCTCGAAAAGAAAAGGGGACGCTTCACTGCAAAAGCTTCACTGCCGTGGCTCCTTCAGTTTAAACACTATTTCCGAAACCGTTATAAAAATCTGGAATCTGGAAGGCGGTCCAGGCCTGCGCCAACGGGAATCCGGTGACTGGTGTCACAGAGATCTGGATGCGATCTGCTTAGTTTGGAAAGGCAGAGTGGACTCTGTAGGACTGCTCCTTCACCTGAACGAATCCGGTCCCCGGTACTCGAGTCGCAGTGCCACGCCCTCGGCCCGGACTGTTCTCTCCATTGCTGTTGCTTTCTGGTTCAAAATAAAATCATTTTTGTGGTTCCGAGGCCCTCCGTCTCGCCTGTCTCTGTTGCCTTGTCATCATTTTGTGTGTTCGCATTCGTGGTTTCCACAAACACTCAGCTTCTGCTGGTTTTTTGAACTCCTTTGCAACATACGGTGTCTCCTGTTCCTGCCCGAAACTCTCCCGTCCGGCATCCCGCTTCTCTCCGTGCAAAATGCGGTTCCTTTACAAGCCTCAAAATAATCCCTAGGAAATTTCAAAACCACAATAAGATCCATACAGGAGTGGAGATCCAGCGCAAGAAGGCTTGATGTCGAGTCTTAAGTCTATCCCCAACCCCATCCCATGGCCCCGGGACTTGACCTTCTCCCGTTAGAGGTGCAAGCCCTTTCGATGGAAGCCCGGGCTCTGCCGAGTGGTCGTGGGTCCCCGGCCTCAGTGCCACCTGCGAGCTGCTTAGAGGTGCCCATTCTCTAACCCTACGCCCTGACCTCCTCGGCAGCATCTCCGCGAGCGGGAGCAGCAGTAAGTTCTAACAGGCCTTCCCGGCGATTCTGATCCTGGCCACAGTTTGTGAAGCAAAGCCCCGGAAGGCTTTACCCAGTCCCCTCTCCCGTGTGAAAAATGCGCTTACGACCTGAAGTGTGTTTTCGAGGTAAAGTGCTTCAGAGGCCGTATGATGTAATGCGGTGATTGATTCTTAACCCGGCCGAGCCCGAAACTTGCCTTTTCTTTTTTAGAAATGCTGACTCCTGGATCCCCTTCTGAAACACGGGCTGAGAAGGTCAAGAGTGTGGCCCAGCACGCTGTCCTTTTGTTTCGAGTGATTCGAAAGTGCTAGACACCTGGGGCGCGGCACCTTTTCTTTTGCCTTTTTTTTTCAGTGTTTGTTTATTTTGAGAGAGAGACAGAGCACGGGCAGGGGAGGGGCAGAGAGAGAGGGAGGCACAGAATCGGAAGCAGGTTCCGGGGTCTGAGCTGTCAGCGCAGAGCCTGACACGGGGGCTCCAACTCACAAAATGTGAAAACGGGACCTGAGCCGAAGTTGGATGCTTAACGGACTGAGCCACCCAGGCGCCCCTCAACACGTTTTCTATGAAAGTCAGATGGTGAGTTTTTTTAGGGTTCGCAGGTCATACCTATGTCTGTGGCAACCTCTTAACTCTGCAGCTATAGAGTGAAAGCAGCCATAGAGGATACGTAAATGAATGGGTGAGGCTGGGTTCCAATAAAACTTTACAAAAACAGGCACGGGGCTGCATTTGGCCCATGGTGCAATTTGCCAACCCCGACTATAACGGATAATAGTACTGGACTTGTGGCCCGAAGCCCATGGGACGTTATCTTCTCTCTCCCTGAGGGCTCAGCAGCCCCTCAGGGCTCTGGGCCTCTTAGCTCTCAAGTCCTTTCC